ATTTTGCTTAGCATAATACTCTCCAGGTCCCTCCATGGTGTAAATGTACTACAGCTTTTTTATCCACTCATCTACTGATAGGCACTTGGGCTGTTTACAGATCTTAGCTATTGTAAAATGGGTTGCTATGAACATGGGGTGCATACTTTCTTTCTGATTAGTGTTTTGGGTTTCTTAGGATATACTATCCCTAGAAGTGGGATCACTGGGTCAAATGGCAGTCCCATATTTATTTATTTTTTCTTTTTAAATCTTTATTATTGAGAATATTACAGATGTTCCCCTTTTCCCCCCAATTGCCCACCCCCCTCCACCCGGTTCCTGCCCCACCCCAGGCCTTCACGACCCTACTGTCCTGTTTATAGGTAAGATCTTTGGTTATCTCTTCCACACCCACTCCCCTTCCCTCTGAGATTCATCAGTCCATTCCATGCTTCTGTGCCTCTGATTATATTTTATTCACCAGTTTATTTTGTTCATTAGATTTATTGTTCATTTTGATTTTTAGATTAGATTGTTGATAGATAAAATATATGAACAATATATTTTCTTTCCCCCCCCACCCCCCCCCCTCCCCGCGCCATTTTGGCTGCTTCCCTGTGTTTGTTTCTATGTATTAGGTAGAGCTGCTCAGTCTCCTAGAATTGGTAGAGTGCCCTTGTGTGGTAGAGGTCCTATGGCTCAGCCTCCCCAGTCACCTGAGCTGGGGGGCACTCTAGGTGCACCCCTGTGTGGGCTGTGTGCATAGTCTTGTAGGTGAGCCTTGATGGCTGTTGATGTCGCTGGGAGGAGTTGACCCCCAGGCCAGGCTGTGGGACCAGCTGCAGCTACAGTGGAGAGCTGCTGTGCAGGAAATACCCCTATGCAGCAGGACTTGCTAGTGGGGCTTTGGTGCTCACTGAGTCTGCCTCTCGGGTGTGTTGCATGTGGGTGTGTAGAGTTGTAATCTACTGTGGTCTAAGGCTGTCCACTGGGTGCCACTGCCTGGGGCCACCCAGCAGGAACTACAGAGAGATCTGCTATCTGTATTGGGCTTAGAGATGCCCAGGAAAGGCCTGACCAGGCCGGCTGTGGAACAAGGCGGGCTGATGCTAATGCTGGGTCTTGGGCCTTTTGTTGATAGCTTTGACACCAGCTGCTGCTTGTTTGAGAGATTTGTTTGGGAGATTTTAGCAAAGTCTGAAGCCTGAGCCAGGACAGGCCATTGATTTGGAAAAGCAGCTGCAAATTGATTGGGGTCTCAGGGAATCCCCAAGGCAGAGCAAACAGTGTGCTGACTGAGACTCAGATATGGCTGCCAGTCAGCCCTGTGACAGGGGAGGTCCCGGCACAGGAACAGTGACCACTATGAGCACCCCTGTCTGGGAAAAAGCCGCCCCCGAGTTCCTGCCACCATGCCAGACAATCTAGTTCCTCCCCATGTGTCTGGTTCCCCAGCGCTGGAGCTTGGAAGAAGTGGGACCCTGTAAGTGTGTGCACGAGCCCTTTAAGGGGAACCCCTGGGATCCCAGCAGTCTCCTTGTCACTTAGCCACAATCCCCCTGCTTTTTACAGCCTGTAGTTGCATGGACTTCTCTTCCCAGTTCTGGAACCCTAGGCTGGGACCCCTTGCTCCGCACTGGCAGCCTCCATAGAGACACCTCCCTCCCAATTAAAAAAACACAACGGCACACGTGGCTGTCAAACCAGCCCGTTCCACTGCTCCTACCAGTCTCGGTGCTTTCTTCATTTCTCTAGTTGTAGGACTTTTGTTCAGCCAGCTTTCGGGCAGTTCTGCATGGTGGTTGCTCTGTATTTTAGTTGTCATGTTGCTGTGGTTGCGGGAGGCTGCGAGTACGGGCGTTTACCTATGCAGCCATCTTGGTTCGCTCTTCATTTATTTTCTTGTTCTTAAAGCAAATGTGCTCTCCCGGGCGTCTGTCCCGTATTTAATTGTTTTAAGAAACTCCATACTGTTTTTTTTATAATGGCTGCACCAATCTGCATTCCCACCAGCAGTGTACTAGGGTTCCCTTTTCTTTACAACTTTGCCAGTACTTGTCATTTGTTGATGGTAACCATTCTGACAGGTGTTTTAATTTGTCGTTTTAATTTGCATCTCTCTGATGATCAATGACTTTGAGGATTTTTTTATATGTCTCTTGGCCATCTATATGTCCACTTTTGAGAAGTGTCTATTTAGGTCCTCTGCCCATTTTTTAATTGGATTGTCTGTCTTCCTTTAGTTAAGTTGAATGAGTTCCTTTTATAGTTTGGGTATTAACCTTTATCAGATGTATCATTGGCTAATATGTTCCCCCATACAGTGGGCTCCCTGTTTATTTTGTTGATAGTTTCTTTTTGCTGTGCAGAAAATTTTTATTTTGATGTAATCCCATTTGTTTATTTTCTCCTTAGTTTCTTTTGCCCTAAGAGATGTATCCATAAACACATTACTATGAGAAATGTCAGAGACTTTGCTGCTATGGCTTCTCCTAGGGCTTTTATTGTTTCACGTCTTACATTTAAGTTATCCATTTTAAGTTTATTCTAGTGTATGTTATAAGTTGGTGGTCTAGTTTCATATTTTTGCATGTACCAGTCCAATTTTCCCAGTGCCATTTACTGAAGAGACTGTCTTGACTCCATTGTATGCTCTTCATTCCTTTATCAAATATTAATTGAATGTAATGGCTTGGGTCGATTTCTGGGGTCTCTGTTCTGTTCCATTGATCTATATATCTGTTCTTGTTCCAGTAGCAGGCTGTTTTGATTACAGTGGCTTAGTAATATAACTTGATATCTGGTATTGTGATCCCTCCAACTTGGTTTTTTCTTAAGATTGCTATGGCTATTTCAGGATTTTTTAGTTCCATATAAGTTTTTGGAGTATTTATTTTAGATCTGTGAAATATGCCATTGGTAATTTAATAGGGATTGCATTGAATCTATAGATTGCTTTGGGTGGTATGGACATTTTAATGATGTTAATTCTATCAATCCATGAACATGGTGTAGTCTTCCATTTCTTTATATCTTCCTCTATCTCTTTTTTCAATGTCCTGTAGTTTTCAGAGTACAAATCTTTTTGGTTGCTATAGTAAATAGGGTTGTTTGTTTTCTTTCTCTTTCTGAGAATTCATTATTGATATATAAAAATGCCATTGATTTCTGAGTGTTAACTTTGTATCCTGCTTTATTTATTATGTTGAGGTATGATCACTCTATTCCCAGCTGTCCTGTTTTTTAATTTTTTTTTCCTTTTTGGTTCTTTGATTGAGTGATTTTTTTTCTACCCTGTCTTCTAATTCACTGATCCAATACTCGGTTCCCCTAATCTGCTGTGTGTTCCTCCCCACTGTGTTTTTTATTAGTGTTATGTTATTCTTCATAGTTACTGTATTTTTTCTCATGCTGTTGAGCATCTTTGCCATCATTATTCTGAACTGTATGTCTGATAAATTTCTTATTTCCATTTCATTTAGCTTTTCTTCTGGAGAATGCTCTTGTTCTTTCATTTGGGGCTTGTTTGAGGGGCTGCCTATTTGGGTTTGTGTCTGTGTATTAGATAGATCTACTATGCCTCCCAAGCTGTAATGTAAGACAGTGTCAGACGCTGTTTCTAACTGCCCCTGAATACCCTGTTTGCAGCTATCAGCAATCCACAGCTTGTGGTTCCCTATGTTGGGGCTGGGTGCCTTTGGAAAGGACCAAGATGTGCACCAAGATCTGCTTTTCCTAGCCCTGGGCCCAAATTAGATCAGGCAAAGACTCAAAGCCTGCAGAGTTCCATGTCTGCCTGCATTCTGATTGTATTCAGTCTTGATTAGCCTCTGGCTATAGACCACACTGTGGGGTAAGAGGTTTTCCAACAGGATGGGGCAATTACTTCTGCCTGCAGGTGGATTGTTATTCTTAGTCTCTTAATGGGTCTTGGAAACTCCACAGGAAGGGGTAAGAGGTTTTCCCAATAGAGTGGGGCAACTGCCTTTCCCCAAGCAAAACCACCTAGATCCCAAAGGTCCACTGGAGAAAGATGTCCTCTGCAGTGTGAGGGAATGACTCAGCACAGCGCATGAAACCAGGGTGTCTGCCTTCTGATGTCTAACCCTAGAGCCCCCAACCCTGGCTTCTGCTCACACAACTCCAGTCCACTCTGCCAAGGTGAGTGGCTGCCCCCAAAATTTTGTGCATTGGCTCTTTATGAGTGTGCCAGCATTTTCAGTCATCTATTGCTGGCAGACAGCAGTCCTGCTGCTTTTTATAGCCAGATGTTATGTGAGCAACTTTCTCAGGTCTGGTGCTGTGTGAAAGGGAGCCCAGCTTGTGCTGTAGGCTCCAGAGTTCTCAGTGGGAACCCCCACAGCTGCTGTCTATGGGAGCCCCACCAACCCTCCTTTTGTGCCTCCACACTTCCTATCAGTCTCTGTTTGGTCTCTGCTTTCTTTCTTTTCTTTTTTTTCTAAATATATTTTTATTGATTTCAGAGAGGAAGGGAGAGGAGAGAGAGTCAGAAACATCAATGATGAGATAGGATTGTTGATTGGCTGCCTCCTGCATGCCCCACAGTAGGGATCAAGCCCGCAACCCAGGCATGTGCCCTTGACCGGAATCAAACCTGGGACCCTTCAGTCCACAGGCCAATGCTCCATCTACTGAGCCAAACCAGCGAGGACCGGTCTACACTTTCTGTCCTTGGTTATCAGGGTTCTCTCCAGATTTTCTGTATTTTTGTTGTAATTCCAGTTTGGTCCTGGGAGTGTGTCAGTGTAGCTTCCACTTATGTCACCACCGTTTTTGGAATCCACTGTTTTTATTGATTTGAGAGAGGGAAGGAGAGAGAGAGAGAAAGACACATCACTGTGATAGAGAAACATCGATTGTTTGCCTCCCATATGCACCCTGACTGGGAATGTAATCCAAAACTTTTTGGTGCAGGGGAGGACACTCAGCCAACGGAGCCACCTGGCCAAGGAAAGTTGGCCTTCTTTGAAACAAAACCTTCTCACTTTGTTTTGTAGGACCACCATGAGGCCTCAGACCTTCTATGATGGGAGTCACTCCTGTGCCAGAGGAGTGTGCCACATCCCAATGGCTGAGCCGTTCTGCCCCAAAACGAGAGAGGTTTGTAATCTGTCTGGAAAGTACACTAAAATAAATTGTAAGGGCTTGGGTTGGCATTTAGAGTTAGATTAATCTATACTAATAAAAGGGTAATATGCTAATTCGACTGGATGTCTTCTGGATGACCATCCAGACATCCTGACAAAGTCGGGCCCAGGTGAAGCCGCCTGCCCCTGCAGCCAGCCAGAGGGAAGGAAGCCCGGGTCCTGGGGGTGACTGCAGCCGGCTGGAGGAAGAAATCCTGGGTCCTGGTGCAGGGCCAAGGCAGAGGCGGTTAGGGGCAATCAGGTTGGCAGGCAGAGGTGGTTAGGGGCGATCAGGCAGGCAGGCAGGTGAGTGGTTAGGAGCCAGCAGCCTCTGATTGCGAGAGGCAATCCAGACATCCCCCGAGGGTTCCCGGATTGGAGAGGGTGCAGGCCAGGCTGAGGGGACACCCCACTCTCCCATGCACAAAATTCACTGGGCCTCGCTAATAAGCACATGGTCCCGATTTCTCTCAAGTTTACGTCCTATGCGAGGTTTTGTGAAAGTTGTTTCCCTTTGCTAATAATGCTTTCACTACTGTCAGTCATTTGTAAGCTGAATCACTCAAAGTAGCAACCTACCTTCTTTATAAGTCTTGATTTTGCTGTCAGGATACTTTTTAAATAATTTAGTGTAGACTAGCATATTAGTCAAGAGTTTATAGTCTGGAACCAGCTGAATGACTAACATGTGTAGGTATTTATATTCTGTATATTAATTTAAAAATTGATCTCACTAGCTAGTACATCACTGACAATGCTTCTAATCTGTTGCGTTGCACCTGAATTCCAAACTTGGAATATATGAAAAATACTATGCATGGAGCAAGAGACGGAATTTTGAATTGTGATAGCCACTTTTATTCTCTGAGGGCTAAGGCCTGATGCCGACTTCTGTGGGGCTGCCCGCTTTGTTGTGAGATTTTACTCTAATCCCAGAGAGAAGGCTGGAGAGTAATGGCCAAACTCAGCTCAAACGTAAATGATGACAACCTGACAATGCATAGAACAGCAATAATAATAATTTGATTCATAAATGCAGTTACCAGTCATTGGACGTTTCTATACTAATATACATTTCTAGGTATTAACTCTTTTATCCCCCACACAGTCCTACAATGTACATGTGATTATTACCTTCATTTTACAAATGAGAAAACTGAAGCTCGGAGGTGTTAAGTAACTTTCCCAGTGACACACAGCTATTATGCTGAAGAGCAGAGAAAGTAAACTAATTTCAACACCTGCATATGGAAAGCAGCTTTTATATTCACCCCTGCATCACCATGTAAAACCAGTTTCCATGTAGTCAACGGCATCTTAACCTCACCCTACTCTAAAAAACCCCACAAACAACGAAATCTAGAATGCACGGTAAGGGTTTGCGGGGAGCCATTTGAGGTGTACCACTGTACATTTAAGTGGCAGGTTCAGTGTGTGTGTATGTATGTATTTAAATGTATATGTTTCTGGGTAGTTATCAGCAGAATATATCAGAATGCTGCCAGTCTTCCCTCTGAAACATGGATCTACCCACACAATAAATTTGCTCTCCAGCAAAAACTAGATGTGTGTAAAATTCTTGTCCATTTCGCCCTAGCTGGTTTGGCTCGGTGGATTGAGTGTCAGCCTGCGGACCCAAAGGTCCCAAGTTTGATTCCAGTCAAGGGCACATGCCTGGGTTGCAGGCTCAGTCCAACGTGCAGGAGGCAGCCAATCAATGATTCCCTCTGATCATTGATGTTTCTATCTCTCTCTTCTTCTCCCTTCCTCTCTGAAATAAATAATAATATTTAAAAAAAAAATTCTTGTCCATTTCAAAATGGGGGCAGTTTGGGAAGGAATACGGTAGACGAGGGAGAGAGTGTAGCAGATCGAAGATCTTTTCGCAGGCAGAAAATAGTAACGTACAGTAATATTAGGGGTAGAAGTAGGCGGTGGAAGTGCTAGTGATGCATACAGAGCACATGTAAATGTGGTGGCTGGTGGAAGTTGCCAGTAGTAGAACGTGGCCTCCCTTGTAGATTTGTGTTAAAATGTGTATAAATATGTAAGGAGATGAATATGAGAATATTTATGTGCGAAAAGAGTGTTTCCCTTGGGAAGGTGAACTGCGTCATGGGGGCATGGGTGGAAGAATAATACCATTTTGTTCCCTGCAGATGTTACCTATTCCAAAATAAGTGTCACTTCTAGTCATTTTAGGAGGTGATTTGATAGATACTCCGAGAGTTTTGACTCATGAAATGTATTTTGCCTGGTGATCTGATATTGCTAATATTTTAGAGACAAGGATGATAGATACAGGAGTTCCATTATGATAACTCGAGACATGGAAATGAGAGCAGCTTAACCTCAGACCCAGAAATCTCTCAGCTTGACTTTTGTGTTTCTGACACCTTAGGGTGTTGGTGCAAAGTGGTGGTTCAAGCAGAGAGGCCCCAGTGCGCATCCAGGCACCTCTACGTCCTTCTCCTCCCATCACGGCCCCCACCTCCCAGGGTGATGGCGAGGACCTCTTGCCTCAGCCGTTGGTAGCTATGATCTTCCTCCACTGATCTCTAGAAGCGCTCTAGGTTGGCTGAGACAGACAGCTCGGTTATTTGGGATTTTAAAAGACATTTAATGAAGACAGGGCAGTGCTTGTTATATAACTTTTTTTTAATCCTCACCCAAGGATATGTTTTTATTGATGGGAGAGGGAGAAGGGGAAGGAGAGACAGACAGACAGAAACATCAGTGTGAGAGAGAAACATTGATTAGTTCCCTCCCATACGTGCCTGGACTAGGGATTGAACCCACAACCTTTTTCATGTACGGGATGACACTCCAGCCAACTGAGCCACCCGACCAGGGCTGGTTATAAATTAATTTTGAAAAAAGGAGGGGAGGCATGATTTAGGCCCCAGCATTTATAACCTTTACTCTTTGGGGAAAAGCTTTGGTTACGCATAGTCTTATTTTTAACACATATAGAATAAAGAAACATGAAGTAGCATCAACTATTCATTGTCTGTGGCTTGTCGTGGTTCTAAATTTGGAATTACCAAAGCTCTTGTTAAAATTTTTTCACCCAATGTCATAGTATAGCATAAGTTGTTTTTTAAGGAAATGGATTAATTTACTTATGTGGTTCAGACATGAGCAGGCAAGATTTTCCCTAGATTGGAGCCTTCTATTGAGCGTGAGTCACTGCATTTTATATATATATAGTCTCTTTCTCTCTCTCTCTCTCTCTCTCTCTCTCTCTCTCTCTCTCTCCCCCCTCCCTGTTCACAAATTTGTGCACAGGTGGGATCAGGCTGGGCCAGCCCGGGGGAGGGGCTGCGGGCAGTTGGCAGGCCGGCCCTTCCCCCTGGTTGAACTCCGGTCGAGGGGACAATTTGCATATTAGCTTTTTATTATATAGGATGGTATCTCAGGAAGCTTTGCCAATTATTTGGTGAACCTAGAGAAGCTGCTGGTACAATAAATCCTCACTTAACCTTGTCCATAGGTTCTTGGAAACTGTGTCTTTATGCAAAATGATACATAACTAAACCAATTTTACCTTAGGCTGAGATAGACAAGAGTTAAGTCCTTGTGGCATATTTCCAGTGACAGAAACATCACCAAACTTCTAAATATAAAGATCCCCAAAACTCTTCTAATATGAAACATTGAAATAAATGTGAGCTATACATCATTTAAGGAAGGTGAATAAAAACAAGTAAGATAGTTATTTCCCAGCCCATTTATTCTCGATCAGGATCATAGGTGGCCAGAGCTTATCTGAGCAGCTCAGGGCACCAGGCGGGGCCCACTCTGGACTGGATGCCCTTTCATCGCAGGGTGCACTCACAGGCACTCACACTCACGCTGGGACAATGTAGATACAACCTAAGCTCACATCTTCAGGATGTAGGAGGAAACCTGAGTCCCTAGAGAAAACCCACGCAGGGATGGAGAGAGCAAACACACTCCACCCAGACAGGGGCCCATTGGGAATCGATCTTTTTTCCTCTTCAATGTTCTAATGAAACAACATTGTTTGGGGACCTGCTGTGCTTCTAATAGAAAGAAGACCAGTTTAGCATTTATATGTTTACAGTGTCTCTGACACAATTCTGTGCTGTATATCTTTAGCTCATTTAATCCTCACACTATCCCTTGAGTTATATACAGTATTATTATCCCATTTTACAGGTGAGAAAACTACGACAAAGGTTAAGTGAATTTCCAGCAGTCCTCAATTAACAGTTAAGTTTAAAAGACTAATTTTTTTCTTTTTTTAATTAGAAAGGAATGTTGAAGCACAGGCTAAGATACGTCTATCCCTGGACAGAAAATAATCAGCATGGGCCCATTCTGTTTTTACTGTATGTCCTTGCAGAGGCAACAGGCAAAAGAGATTATAGAGTAATTACTTTCTAACTAAAAAAAAAAAAAAAAGCTTTTACAGAAGTCTGCAGACTTTTCACAAAAGAGCAAAGAGAATGAATTTCTCAGGAGCTTAGAAACGGTTATCCGCACATCTCTCTGAGAAGATGTGATGAGGGGCGCCACCTGCGCTGAGCCTGGAGATTAAAAGCTCCGTCTCAAGTCCTTGCTCACACCCCAGCTTTGTCGCTTCAAGCTGTGAAGAAGTACATGCGATGAAAACTTGTAAACACATTCCTGGTGCGTAGGAAAAGCTCACTGTTCTCTTTCGTAGCTGTGAGCTGTATGTGCAGAGGCGGGGGACACAGGGTGTGCGCGTGGTTGAGGGTCTGGGAGACTGTGAGGCTCCCAGGTTCTCTCTGAGGGTCGGCAGCTACTAGGCTTTTATAATAAAGATCTTTAACGACTCAACCTTTTACATTTCAGGGGAAAATAAAATAGTAAGCTGGACTTAGGTTTGCATGTTTTGCATTTGAGGTTCCTTCTCTTCTAGGTCCTGACAGAGACTGCTAAGAAGCTAGGACTCCGGTACCACTCCAAAGGGACCATGCTCACGATTGAAGGGCCACGTTTTAGTTCACGGGCAGAGAGCATCATGTTTCGCACCTGGGGGGCAGATGTTATCAACATGACCACAGTTCCAGAGGTGGTTCTTGCTAAGGAGGCTGGACTTTGCTATGCAAGTATCGCCATGGCAACAGATTATGATTGCTGGAAGGAGCACGAGGAAGTGGTAGGTGGAATTCTCTCCAGAGCACGTATGGCCTGACTTGCCAGGTGCCATGAGCCCCGGTATGAAAGGATCTTCACTATGCGTTTCTATTGCATTCTTTCCAGAAAGTACCTTTCTTCCAGGTTTTAAAGTCAACTTTTAATACATCGTCGTTAAGTATTACCAGATATTTTCTATAGTTGACTTTGGAAAGTAAGGATCAGGATCTTCAGAGCAAAGAAAAAAACACTTTTATCCAAGGATTAGCAATGAACTGTACATTGTAGGCATGCTGGGAATCATGTTGAGATTTGGGCCTTATTTTAAGGATCAAGGTCCTGGTTGTAATTTCCTTGTGCTGTGCTACTGTTTGTGCTCTTTTTTTTTTTTCAAAGGAAAAAAACTTAACTGTTTCTTAATATCTTTCTGGTAAGTGGGCTCTATTCATAGCTATCTGTTTACCCTACCATGACTGGATACCATGCTCGGTGTGGGAGTAACCAAAACAAGTTGGTAAGGAGCCCGCCAGCATTCTGTGGTTTTCACGGAGAGGGGGAGGTGGGTGGTTAGAGGTTAAGCAAACGAATGTGAGAAAGCTCAGGTGAGATACACATATGAATCCAGTTGACTCAGCCGAGTATTTGCAGTCAGGGAAGCTTCCTTACGTGATGGGAAAGGTGGGCATGCTTGAGTGGAGAGGAGGGGAGGGAGCAAGAAGGAAGCAGAGCTGTGGAGACTGTGTTTTCAGATGGGAAGTCAGTAAGAGGTTTTAGGTAATAAAAACGGCACGGTCCGGCCAGACGGTTGAGGTCAGGCTTCCAGAACAAATACTTTCATTGTGAAAAATTTGGAACATCTCCAAAAGTAGAGAGTCTAGTATAATAAACCCCAGTGACCCATCACCCAGCCTTCCAGGTATCGGCCATGGCCCACTTTGTGTCATACATATGCCCCTACCCTTCTTTCTTCCCTGCCTTCATAAGTAAATAGTTTTTATAAAGGCCTTTTTAAAATATATCTATACTTCTAATAGGGTAATATGCCAATTGGTCGGGACACTGTCATGTAATGACCAGTCAGCAGGAGGGCAGGGTAGCGAGCTACATGCGGTGGAGAGCTACGAATCGCGGTGGGCAGGGTGGACAGCTGAGGCAAGCAGCAGCAAGCTACTCACGCACGGATTCGTGCACAGGGCCACTAGTGTG